ACTGTAGATAAAGGGGTTCAGCATGGGAGTGACCACAGTGTACATCACGGAGGCTACTGCACTGGCCCTAGAGTTTGGGGAAGCAGCAGAACTGAGGTAAACTCCAAGACTCGTACCATAGAACAAGGAAACCACTGACAGGTGAGATCCACACGTGGAAAAAGCTTTGTACTTGCCCCCAGCTGAAGAAATTCTCAAAATGGAGGAAACAATCTTGGTGTAAGAGAAAAGGATCCCAGTGAGTGGAATAACACCCAAAAGTCCTGATGCAAAATATACCACTAAGTCATTAAGGAAAGTGTCAGAGCAAGCCAGTTGGATTACCTGATAAAGTTCACAGAAAAAGTGAGGAATTTCCACCTCTGTGCAAAAAGACAGCCGCAAAATCAGTAAAGACTGTAATAGAGAATGTAGAACAGTCAATAACCAGGACACCAGAAGTAGGAGGCCACACACCTTGGGGCTCATGATGACTGTGTAGTGGAGTGGATGACAGATGGCCACAAACCGGTCATACGCCATCACTGTCAACAAAAAAGTGTCTAAGACTCCAAAACTCATGAAAAAATACATTTGGGTGATGCAACCTTCATAAGTAATAACCTTGTTTTCCATCTGGATATTCAGAAGCATCTTTGGGACAGTGGTGGATGTGAAACAGATGTCTGTTAAAGAAAGGTTGGAGAGAAAAAAGTACATGGGTGTGTGAAGGTGGGAGTCCCTGAGGATGGCCAAGATGATAAGCAGGTTCCCAGTGAAGGTGACCAGGTACATGGACAGGAACACTCCAAAGAGGAGGGGCTGCAGGTCTGCCTCTTCTGAGAGCCCCAAAAGCTTGAATTCTGAAACATGTGTTTGGTTTTCTGGTTCCATGTAGCTGCTGAAACTTCTAGAAAAGAGAAAGGAGTATCACGATTGAGCCGTAAGGATCAAACGGCAACCTCACAGGCTATATTATATATATACACAGGCTTTATTATATATGCAGGCTGTATTATATATACAGTCTATATTATATATACAAGCTTTATTATATATACAGGCTATATTATATATACAGGTGAGATATATATATCATATTAAACACGTGTATTAATAATACTTGCATATTGTCTTAAACATACTGCCTTTTAGGAAACTCTAGTGGCCTAGTGGTAAGAAGCTGTGCTGCAATCCCAAACACATGCTGCTTGAAATCACCAGCAGCTTGAGAGAAAAAGATGGGCATTCTCTTCCAGTGCAATTTACTGCCTCTGAAATCCCTTGTAAGGGTCAACTATGGATCAGTTTCGACTCTGTGGTATTCAGCAAAAACAACACTGTCTCGTAGCTGGAAATTTCATTGCTTCCCAAATGTTATATCTTCTCGCTGCTGCTGAAACTCCCTTCTTTACCCCTAATCTCAAACTTTATCCAGGGAAAAAGGTTTTTCTGTAAATCAACTGAAACAACGTTCTGTCCATAAAAAAAAAAAATAAGAATTCTTTTATGTTATTTTCTTTTATCTACTGAAATTGTAATGAAATTTTATAAAGAACTTGAATTTCCACTCCTTCATTGTTGCACATTTGCCTCCTTGCCCACCCCCCCCCCCCCCCCCCAGTTCACCTTTGTCTATGGGGGAAAAGAGGTAATTTCATTGTTATACAGTCCCTCACCACCAACTACTTTACTATGCAGCTCTTATTCTGGACTCTTGTCATACCAATAATACCTAATAAAATATTCCTTTTATAGGGTTCTCTCCCCAACGCTTGGGTGTCTTTCATCCTCTCTCCAGGTTCATAGGGTTTCCGGAGGCAAACTATTATGGAAGTGGATGCTACTCCTCCTTCCAAGCTTATTTTAATCGGGGAGCTCCACCCCACTCTATGTCCGCATTGAGTAACCGACCATTAACGCATTTGACACATCGGTGGCATCCACTTCCATAACAGCTTGCCTCCAGAAACCCTATGAATCTGGAGAAAGGATGAAAGACTCCCAAGCATTGAGGACTCTCCTTCATAGGGTTCCTGTGAGTCGCCTGCGACTCGAAGGCACTTAACAACAATAATATCAATATACAGAGAGACATCAGCTGGCCCAGTGTAAAAGAACCATCAAATCAGAGCTGACAGGTACAGGAGGAGATTCTCCATCCTTCTCCAGCAGAGCATCTGGTGGATTCAAGCCTCACGCCTCTGGGTTTGCAGTGCAGCTACTTGACACTAGGCCACCGAAGTTCCTGACAAAGCCATTTGAAGATTCTAGATGGAGGATGTCAATAATAGGGGACTAAGACTAAGATGAAAGGAAATTTTCCAAACATTATTTGCGATTTTGTTGTTACTATAAAGGTGTTCAACAATTAAAGTGTGTTAAAAATGACAAAGGTCGGTCACATGTAAATATCTTGGAAAGAACAGGCTGTGAGCTGCGTCTCCACGCTCCTGCAAGCCTTCACGGGCAAAGTCACTTCTTTAAGTTTCATATTCTTTATCATTAAAATCAAAATAGTCATACAAATTTTCCGATTGTTAAATGAAATTAAAGAATGGACTTCAAATGTCAAACATGCCACACATTAATCATGGGGTATTTGTATGCATTTAATTCCATTTCTCACATATTTCTCCTCCTGCTTCCACTGTGCTGTGTCCACCTTTCACCTATTGTTTGATAAGAGCTGTAGTTTGTTTCTCCCACTGACCAGGACTATTCTTCCACAGAAAAAGCCTGACTGTGGACACCCTCTGGCATAACTCTCCATTGACTCTCTAGTTATTTCAGAATTAAGTGTCAACTGTGTAGCTAAACTATGAGACTCTGCTTTCTGAGATGCTGCCTATCTGACCAGGTGCATGCTTTGCTTTTGTTCCCTAAATTCACTGTTCAGATATTAACTACAATGTGCAATTTTCTTAGTAAACATTATGTTTCATTAATTCTAACACTTAATCTCTTATATCCTCTTCCTGGAGAATTCTTACTAAAAGAGATAAATGAAGTTAAACTGATACTTTAAATAAGAGTGGGGGGAAAGAGATGTGGTGAAACAAGGAAAAATGCTGTTTGAGGGAGGACACCCTGGGGAATGAGAGGCAATATCAAGAAAGAGAGAAGGAAGACATATCACTATATCCAGCATTATCCTTCAGAATCTCCAGGTACTTACACTTATTCAGACTGTGTATCTTTACACTTCCTTTGTTATTATTGTTGATACTTCTGTTTGTTGTTATTGTTGTTACAATGTGCTACTGAGTTGAGAATGAGTCATAACAACCCTATGAACAACAGATCTGAATCCTATCCTGTGTCATATCCTCATCAACTCTAACATACTTGAACCAATTGCTGTAGTCACTGTATTATCCATTTTGTTGAGGGTATTCTTCTCCTTTGCTGATCTTTCTAAGTATGATGTCCTTTTCCAAGGACTGGCCCCTCCTAACAACATGGCCAAAGTATGTGAAATTGTTCATTGCCATCCTTGGATCTAATGAGCTCTCCAGCTGCACTTTACTCAAGACATGTCTGTTTGTTCCTTTGTTAGTCCATGGGTTATAGTGAATTACTCTTCTCCAATCCCACAGATCAATGATATAAAATAATCTTCTTTCATTCTTATTTACTTTCCAGCTCTCAAATACATGGCAGGTGACTGAAAAGATCATGGCCTGTTCCTTCCACGCCTTGCCTTGTGCTACTGCCACGTCAGCCAGGAAAACCTATGCCTGCCTGTGTCAAGCCCCAGGCCTTCTTGGCTTTGCCTTGTGATTTACCTCACCCAGGGAGGCCAATGCCTTTCTGACCATGCAACCCCCAGGCATTCAGGACCTTGGGCCACTCTGTCACTGAGGGAGCCCCTGCTGCCTAGGCCATGATACATTCACATTTACTAATAATTAGAGAGGGCACTCACTCATACCCCCTTCCTCAGCACCTGCAGTGACACAGTAGCTCATCCAGATGTTGCCAGGCAAGAGTCTGAGTTCACCAAAGCTGTTTCTTCTTGTACATCTGCTAAGGTTAGAAGGTGTGTCTCCAGAAGGGCAGAGAGATAGAACCATTCATCAGGCCTCTGAATGATAAAATTGTACTTCATCATCACCTGAAATCAGTCAGATAGACTTGAAATGATGTGGGAGAAATATTTACAATTCTAAGGACTTAAGAAAATTAATTCCTATGTGTCCTTATAATGAAGCGTGTTGTTTGGTTGGTGGGGGCTTTTTTCCAATTATGTGTCCCAAAAGATTTCTTTCTCTGGAGGTAGAAAAGGAACAGAGTGCAAACTTGTGCTAGCCTTTGGGAGACAACTTGCAACTCCATGTACATCTATTGTCCCATTGGACTTCTTCTTCCCAGAGATGGTCACCACTCTTTTGATGTTATCTCTAGCGTGCAGGGCAACTCATAATGATGGTGCTATCAATCTCTAGGGCACACTTTCTTCTCCAAAGACCTAAATAACACTCCAATATACAGTAAAGATGTGATCATCACACCACTAAAGAAAACAAGAGTCACATACAATCAATTATAGATATATAGGCAGATAGGCAAGACAAATAAATATTAGTAGAAATGAGAATGACAGGGAGCAAATGGGTAAAGTATGATCACATGTAGTTATTTTAATATTATTAAATGAATCATGTACGAAAAATAAATTTCCTTTGTAAAATTTCACTCAAATGACAAGAAAGAATTTGAGAGATCATTCATTATGATTTTTATAAAAACATTTCTGACCATATAAACACAGCCTTACACATGCTAGCCACAGTATATTTACCATGATTTACCATAAATTTCAGTAGACCCTAAATAAAAGGAAAGATGTTCCTCTACTAGTGGATTAGGAGAGAGAATTACAGGGTAGCCTTAGCAAGTGTCAATACAACCAAAGAACACAGCAGACAAAGAAATTGGATACCACATTTTTTCATTTCTACCTATTATAAAAGAAGACTCTCAGCCACTTGGATTGACACAGTAACTGTAACAATGGACATAAATATGGCAGAGATGAAGAAGATATCACAGCATAAGACTAGATTCCAAACTGTTGTTTATAGGGTTTCTGGGAGTTGTTGTTGTTGTTGTTATTGTTGTTGTTGTTGCTGTTATGTGCCATTGGGTCACTTGAAACTCATAGTAACCCTATGTACAAGAGCCCTAAACGCCATTCTATCCTGTGCCAACCTCGCCGTCTCAAACACACTTATCAGAAGATATTTCCTGCTTAAAAGTACATACTACCTTAATGACACGGATGGAATAAAGCTTTCCTCCAATAAAGGACCTTCATTTACTACTGTGGCAGGACTGAAAACAATGAGAAACAGTTGCTTAAATACATTAATAATTGACATTTACAGTGCATATAGTGTGATTCAGGGGAAACTGGAATCTCTAAAAATTATATTAAATGCATAAAGATCAACATCCTACGCAATAGTGTGCTGAGCTAGACTGGTAATGGCCCTTCCGAACCAGCAGCCAGGAAATTAAAAGACAAACTACATTGGGAAAGTCTGCAGTCAGAGATCTCTCCAAGGTACCGAGGAGCAATGATGTCAGTCTGGACACTAAGTTGCACCTGATACAGGTCATGGTCTTTGCAATTACTTGCTATACACCAGAGAGCTGGACAGTGACTAGGGGTGGTAGAAGGAGAATTGATGCCTTTGAGCTTTGGTAATGGAGAAGAATATTGAATATACCATGGACTGCTAGGAGAACAAACACATTCATCCTGGAGAGAGTGAAGCCAGGCTGCTCCTTGGAGACAAGGATTCTGAAGCTCCATCTGACATACTTTGGACAGGTTGCAAGGCAGGATCAGGCCTTGGAGAGGGACGTCATGCTTGGGAGGGTGGAGG